GCATGCAATGAACTCGTAACACTTGTCTTGTAGCGATTGATCGCGACGATAAAATCGCGTGACTCTGTCTTGGGCCTACTTATTACACTTCCGAGAAGTAATTAACAACACATCTAAGCACGAGGGCTTCTCGTTCAGAAACCAATCTATGATTGAAATTAAAATCCTGACATCTCCACATGCTTCATTTTTTTTGTGATCGTCTGCGCCAGTTCAGGTTGTTGTTTTACTCTTGGTGATACCTTCATCGGACTAATCTATTTTGAATTTTTAATCAAAGTCTAATAAAAATTTCTGCAGCAAGTGCTAGTAAATTCCCAATGGGCTAAGCCTGACGGTCCCAATTTCTTGAAAATCGGAGGAGAGTCACCTCAAACTGATAAATGGGTAGCAAACGAAGACTTGCCTTATTTGCAATGGGCGAAAAAATATGGAGCCACTGTGCATGCACTCGAGCACAGATACTATGGCGAAAGCATAGTCGGAGGGTATGCATATGAATGCAGTTCGTGATGCATCTACACTTTCATGTGAATAACCTTTAGGACACCAGGAAATCCAAATCCAAATCTCAGATATTTGTCTTCATTGCAAATGTTGTATGACATGGCAGACTACATACAAAGCGTCAATTACCACACAAACAATAGTGGACCATGGATTGCCTTTGGAGGCTCTTACGCAGGTAAATAACCGAGGGTCAAATAAGATGTTTAGAGTGTAAAGCAAAAATGGTAATATTGTCGATATATGTGATTTTCAGCTTGTGTTACATTAAAGATTACTTTTTTTACCTTGTTCCAATCAAGTCATTCTTTAGGCAACTTAGCTGCATGGGCGCGGCAACTTTTCCCCGAATTAATAATTGGAGCGGTTGGTTCATCTGCCCCAGTGGAAGCTAAATTGGATTTCTATGGTTAGTTCGACTTGACTTCGCAAGCGTTAGCTCGCTGCTCGCTCCACTCAAGTCTTTTCAAGTAATGCTTCAAATTTTACATGCAAGCCATGCATAGCATT